GCTGTGTGGCAGGCAGACCCGTGCAGGTGTGAGGGAGGCCGGGTCTGGGTGGAGGCCTTCCTCACTTTGGGCCTTGGAGGGGCCAGTCAGGAGCAGACCCGGCTGGGAAGGCAGGGTCTGCCATGGCTCTGTGTGGTCAGCCTCTGCAGCAGGCTGTGCCACCACAGCCCTCTCATCCCAGTTCCTCCAACAGGGCCCTGAGCACCCCAACCCCGGGAAGCCATTCACTGCCAGAGGGTTCCCCCGCCAGTGCTACCTCCCAGACAGCGCCCAGGGCCGCAAGGTAAGGCCCCTCAGCCCCACACCTGCCTCTTCTCAACTTCTAGTGCCAGGGACGGCGAGACGCGCGGGCCAGGCCAGCATGCTGTGCTTCCTCCAGGGCTGCCGAGGACCCTGGGGCAGGGCCTCAGCTTCACAGGCTTCAGAGAGCGTAGAGGCCAGGCTTTCTGCTCTTCAGAGTCAGGGTGAAGAGAGGCCACAGGAGGATGGGGATCCCCATGGCTAAGCCGTTCTAGCTGCCTGGGACCCCACAAAAGAGCAGCGGGTGGAGGCTGAAGGCCAGCCCGCCCTCTAGCCTAGCCCTAAGACGTGAGGTGCTTGTGGAAAGGGACCCTTGTCACCCGGAAGCCACGGGAGGGGCTGCTGTGCATCGGTTAGGAAACGCTTTCGCAGCTACTGGGTGGGCCCTGGGCTCTTCGTTCCCCTCATTGCTGGGAGGGAGCCCAGGACCTCCCTCTGGCAATCCCCAGTCACTGCGTCCCAGCCCCAGCCCTGAGCCAGGACTCCTAGGTGGCCAACCATGGAGGCTGATTGGGCACTGGGGATGCAGAGGCAGAGACCTGCAGGGAAGGTGGCAGGTGGATGGACTGTGGTAAGGACCGCAGCTGTGGCCATGTAGGTGGCAGTGCCCATGAGTAAGATGGGGCCGGCTGGGCCGGGTAAGGTGCTGGCGGGTCTACAGCTGGAGTCCTGGGGATCCCCCTGGCAGCTTAGGCTGCAGTACTGGCTGAGCTTACCTCGGAGGGAGGGGGTGGGAGAACAGAGCTCCCTGGCACGCTTTTCACTGGCTCCCTCTCTGTCCCCCCTCTTTCCTCTCTTTCACCCCTGTCCCTCTGTGCAGGTTCTGGAGCTCCTGAAGGTGGCCTGGAGGAGGCGACTCATCTTCACCATTGGGACGTCCAGCACCACAGGCGAGACAGACACAGTGGTGTGGAACGAGATCCACCACAAGACAGAGATGGACCGTAACGTGACAGGCCATGGCTACCCCGACCCCAACTACCTGCAGAACGTGCTGGCCGAGCTGGCCGCACAGGGGGTGACCGAGGACTGCCTGGAGCAGCAATGACCCATAGCACCCCAAGGCTGCCCCCGCAGGGAGGTGCCTTTCCTGAGAGGCTGGAACGCAGGTCGAGGGTGGCTCCCAAAGCCCGCTCCGCCCGCCTCTCCTGCTCCCCTCAGGCAGGGACCTGCCTGGGCCCTGGGCAGCCCTGGGAGGAGGACTTGGGGGGCTTATGATGCAGCTACCTCACCAGGGACGGCCGTGTCCTCAAGGCTGCTCTGGGCCCCAGCACCAGGCCTGGCAGGAGAGGGGCCAGTGTTCCCCAGCCAGGCGGGCGCAGGCCCCGGGTCCACTTCTTATACCTCACATTTTGTTTGCAATAAAGGCCTTGTAGCCAAAGTTCATAGGCCTGCTGTGCGCATGTGTGTCCCCAGGGCAGGCACCTTACATCCGCCCCCCACCTGGTAAAGGGAGACCAGACCACAGTGTGGCCCGGGTGTTCCCAGCCTGTGCACCACCTCCTCCCCTGCTGTGTACAGAGCCTGTCGTCCCTCTTCCCCAAGAGTCTCGTGTGAAACAGGTTCACACAGGGCCTGCCCTGCTGTCCCACGTCACAGAAGAGGAAAGAGGTCCAAAGGTGCTGTGTGAATCAGGTGGCAGAGACTCAGGCCTCAGGAGGAGCAGGGCACACCACCCACCCACCCCCACACCCCCATCAGGCCCTTGCTGCTGGTCTGATAGGAACAGTTGTGGCCCAGGGTTGGAGGGACCTCCAGGGCCACATTATGGTTGTTGGCCAGAGGCACTTTGCTTTGTGAGCCTCTTTCTCTAAAAAACAAAGTCAGTTTCACAACACATCAGTACAAAGAACGCACTAATAATAATTAGAGGGGCTGAGGATTTAGCTCAGCAGCACAGCGCCTGCCTGTCAAGTGCAAGGTCGTGAGTTCGATTCCTGGTACCAGAAAAACAAAACAAAACAAAAAAAAATAATTAGAGCATTTTCTTTACCCAAAGTTTATTTTTTTTTTTTGTATTGAGGAACCCAGAGCCTTTATACTGAGCTATATAGCCCTAGGCCAGTGGTGGCGAACCTATGGCACACATGCTGCAATGGGCTATTTGTATCATTGAAAGCTCTAAAAGTCACTAAAGGTTCACCATCGCTGCCCTAGGCTCCCACTCTTTTTTTGTCTTTTTGAGACGGGGTCTCACTATTAAGTTCAGGCTGGCCTTCAGCTAACTTTGCAGCCCAGGCTGGCCTTGAACTCGAAAGGATCCTCCAGCCTCAGCCTCCCTGACTCAGCCTCCCGAGTGCTGGGATTACAGGCGGGTACCACCACACCAGGCTGCCCTAAACCCTTTTTAAAATTTTCATGCAGGGTCTCACTAAGTTGCTAAGTTTTTCAGGCTGGGCTTGAACTTGTGATCCTCCTGCCTCACCCTCCCAGACTGTAGGGTTACAGGCATGTACTGCTGTGTCCATTTTTCCTGGGTGTAGTGCTGCATGCCTATAATCTCAGCACTGAGGAGGCTGAGATTCACAAGGTCTTTGTGAATTCAAGGCTAGCCTGAACTGCACAATGACAGCCTATCACAAGCAAAATAAAACAAAACAAAAAAACACATTAAAGTGGCCTGGTAGTGTGAGCTCAAGCCTTTGCCTCATGGATAATTTAACCCATACAAAAAGGACGGTGAGGCTTCAACAGAGACCCCCGTCTTGGCTGGGTCCCAGATCTGTTTGGTTTCAGACCTGAGACTTCCTCACACGGCCTCAGCACGGGAGTTGGAGAGCCTCAGATGTTGCTGCCCTCAGGCTTCTCCAGAGCCTGGGTGCTCACCACTGATGGCACCAAGAATCAAGACCCAGGAAATACGTGCAAATCATATACCTGCTGAGTAGCCAGAATATTAAAAGAACTCAGAATTCAACAATAAGACAAAACCAAAAAAATTAATGAAGCCAAGCCAGGCATGGTGGCGCATGCCTGTAATTCCAGCACTCAGGAGGCTGAGGCAGGAGGATCACTGCAAGTTCAAGCCACCCTGGGCTGCATAGTGAATTCAAGCAGGCCTGAACTGCGTAGTGAGACCCTATCAGAAAACAAAACAGGCAAGGCATTGTGGTACATACTTCTCAGCATTCTGGGAGGCTGAGGCAGGAGGGTTGCAAATTAAGGCCAGTTTCAGCAATTTAGCAATTCCCTGTCTCAAAAAATCTAAAAAAGGGCTGGGAAAGTAACTCAGTGTAAAGCCCCTGAGTTCAGTCTCCAATACTGGCTGGGGATGGGGTTGGCGGGGAACAGTGGGTAGGACCTGGGGGTTCAGCTCAGAGGTAGAGCACTTGCCTGGCATGTGCCAAAGAAGGCCCTGGATTCAATCCCTAAGCTAAAAAAAAAAAAAAAAAAAGAGAAAAGAAATATCCTGCCCTTCTCCTTCTGTAAAGGCTAGGGATTTAGCTCAGTGGCACAGCCCCTG